AGAGAGAGAGAGAGAGAGAGAGAGAGAGAGAGAGAGAGAAAGGGAGAGAGAGAGAGGGGAGGAGGGAGGGAGAAAAGAGGGGGGTGTTCTTTTGTTTGTTGTTGTTGTTGTTTTAGTTAGTTGTTTTTTTTAGCTGTTTTTGTTGCTGATTTTTTTTTGTTTTTTGTAGAGGTAAAATAAAACGAAAACGTCGCCAGTTCATATTGACGTCCATTGCTACTTTAACAGACTGGGTAAACAGTGACCACTCATCTCACTTACGCACGACTTGTGTGTGAGTTGTGTGGCGGGGCTTTTTGAGGGTTATGAGCAACACCTCCCACTCTCTCACTCCTCCTCTCCTCCACACACAACTGTGTCTATATATACACGTCATTTAACAGTATCCATGCTCAAACAAACAGACTGCTGCAAAAAAGGTAACTTCGTGATAATTTCTGACGATGATGATGAATTGAATGATGGTAAAAAATATATTAATAATAGACAGCATATTTTGTATAGCGCACACACCCACTCAACAGCAAGCTCTATGCCCTTCACAATCTATACTATTACCCCAGCAGTCCTGAGAGCATTCTGAAACAACCTCAACTTCTTGGGAAACATACAGTGCAAGCAGCCATTTAAAGGCGCTAAAACACTAACATACTGACAAGATCTTTCGCTGTAAAAACAAAGCTTTCTGTAGATTTGATTTTATTTTTTTCATTTATTTTTTTTATTTTTTATTTTCATTATTTTTTTCTTGGGTTGGGGGGAGACATGTGGAATGCCGTCTGGCAACAGAAACCGTTTCTGAAGTTTATGCATTTAATAACAACACACACTTCGAGGGAAAGTGAAGGAAACGTTTCGTAACTTTCCGCGAATGTCTTGGGACTGTGAGTTGGTACAGGAGATTTGTCCATCAACTTTTTTTTTTTTTTGGGGGGGGGGGGGAGAGTAAGTGTTTTACGGCGCTCGCAACTGCATAAGGTTATATGAGCGCGCAGGACACACCTATTATTTTCAGTTGGTAGTAAATTTTGAATTTTGCCATGATGGCGGCTGGAGCCCACTCTTATCGATTTTGGACCGCCAAGGGATCTTTAACGTGCGCAACTTGCACACGGAACCTCCGAGATTTGTCGCCCTTGTTCGAGAAGGCTATGTGTAAATCTTTCCTACCAGAAGATCAGGGGTGTGGTTGAAAGACAGCAGTAAGGAGGAGCCAAAGAGAAGCTGTAGAAAGGCTGCAGAAAGAGTCAGGAGCCCAAAGGATTGGGTAGAGGAGGTGAGGGGGTGGGGGCAGAAAGTGGAGACGAAAGCAGACAACATAAAATAGCTAGAGAGCAGGAAAGGAGGTGAAAGGAGACTCTTTTAGAAAAGAAAATGTTTCCGTCGCTACTCGGATTCGAACCTGGGAAGTTTGGATGAGAGGCGAACACCTTAAGACCACTGTTCATCAACAATCACCAGTCACGTGTCTGTGTGACCGTGTTGGTCAGTCGGTACCCCACTCCTCGTCCCAACAGGTCTCCATCTTCCCTGGTCTCTGCTTTGATGTATCGTTTTATGAACGTGTAAACCGCTTGAGGAATTTCTATTGTCAAAGCATGATGTCGAGGGTCTTCCCTTATCTCTCTTTGCTTCTATTTTGGGGAGGAATTCCGTAACGAGGGACCACTATACAGAGTAGAAGAGAGGCTTGAGGTTAGGGTTAGGGTTTGAGTTAGGATTAGGATTAGGGTCAGGGTTTGGGGTAGGGGTAGACGTTGGGGTAGGGTAGGGGTAGGGGTAGGGTATGGGTAAGGGTAGGGTAGGGTAGGGTATGGGTAAGGGTAGGGTAGGGTAGGGTAGGGGTAAGGGCAAGGGTAGGGGGTAGGGGGTAGGGTAGGGGTAA